AATAACATTAGTTTTGAGATTAATATAATTTCTAGCTTGTTTTAAGAGGATTGATTGGTTAATATAATTAAAGCTCTGAAGATACAGCTCTGACAGCATGCTCCTTCCATGGCACTCATGCAGTCTCACCACTTCTTTTTTCATAATAATCCTTGCAAGAACCATGCTCAGGTGCAGTGCTTTGCCTGTTCATTGAGACAGAACTAGAACAGCACTTCTGTCCTTGAATTCACAATTCTTGGAGTAAAAACTCATCTTCCATTCCTGTGGGGGACCCCTGAGAAATAAGAAAATGCATATTCTTTTCCAGTCAGTGACAGGTTACTCTAGAAATGCATTATGGTCACTGATTTCCACTCTAGAGCTCTGCTTGGTAGGAAAATAATATAAATGCAGGTCGTACACCAGGTGCCATCAGTTTTCCATGCCATGGCCAAGTCCAGAAGGCTGCAGACAACTCTAAGACGTGAGCTGTGACCCCAGGGCTGTCGGAGGGGTGTCTGAAAGAGTCACCTGTGACCCCGGGTCCTGCCAGGTCTCCCACAGCCAGGCTGTCCTGCCCAACCCCCCAAGCAACAGCATCAAGGGTCTACATTTTTATGGGACTCAGCTGAAACCTTCACAGAAGACTGGGGTTTGTTGCATCATGGTTTTTGGTGGGGTTGTTACCGTCTGTATGAACACTGTACCCCGAAACACGTGAAGGTTGGTGACCTCAATGATAACCTTGTGTCAAACCCCCCACTGAAGGTGCCCATCAAACAGCACGTGCAGTAACCAGACCTGCACAGTCACACTGCTGTGGGAGTAGGGGTGTGGTGAGTGCATATAACACAAAAGAAGTAAGAGTAAAACGTAAAAACTGCTTTGATTTCACTGTTCCCCTTTTCTCCCTAACCTGGAAGAAGTACCATCCACATTTCCAATACATTTTACATTAGTTGATTTTTCCCATCAGGCAAAGTTACTTCCCACCCTAATGATGCACAAATTAATCAATTCCAGTACTATTCAAGTATTATATTGCAGAGAGGCAAAATTGTGGGACACTGAGCTCTGAAAGTTTTAATTTGAAATTCAATAATAAAGAAATAGGATGTTGTAATTTTGTCCCAGAAGAGCTGACTTTGAAAACTTAATTTTGGTGTACTTAAAGAAAATTTTTACTGTTATGTTTAAATGTGATTAAAATTTAATATATCATTGGGCACATCTTTACAGTGCTTGATCTCAGTGATCTTGGGAGATTTTAACAGGCTGAAAATGCTGCCAAGCTCCAGCTGTAAAGTTTCCATCGCATTTTGAAACATGCCACTCTTCTGCAAAACTACAGAACTATTCTCTGAAGCTATATTATGTATTTATTGGTACTCCAGATCATTTCTGTTGGACTGTGGTGCCCAATATTCAGTAAAAATATAATTTTTAATATATGCTTAAGAAAAAAACAATAATAAGACAATTTAAATAAGAAATCTGACTTTGAGGTTGGGAACTGGTGTTACAGAGCTAAGAAATGCAAAGTGTTTACATATTTATCCTTCTGTCAAAAAAATAACCTTGCTTATGCCTAAGGGAGAAAATCATCATGAATTAGAAGTGCCAGACTTTAGAAAGGTATCAGTGCTCTCCACAAATACCTTTTCTCTCTACAGATTGTCTGTTTTGATGTCCTCGCTGGTTTAGAATTGAGGCCAGGAAGCCAAAGTCAGTGGCAAAAGGGAAATTTGTTGTCTTGGCATTGTCTGGTAAACCCAATTGCATCCATGTTTTGCTCCAGAAAAAACAATTATCAGAAGAATTTTGTTGTATTGGCTTGGCACTATAGTGAAATATTTGAAATATTGATCAGCATATCCTGCCCACACTGCATTTCTGTGAGGAGAAAACCTGGGCATAGGGGTCAGCACTGACAATTAGCAGTGCAATTAGTGGAAGTTTAATAAACCTCTCCTCTCTATTCCCAGTGAAAGTCCTGTTGGAAAGCAGAGGTGTTTGCTGGGGTCTGAAGGCATCCAGCACATTCTAGGAGGGCCTCAGCACTATTTAAAGGAACACAAGAATGTATCTCCCTTTCTTAACAAAAGGTGTGCATTTCATGGTGCTCAGCACTTCCTGCTGATGAGGAGTTACCTCTGTCTGAAGGGAAATTTAAAACTTCTGAGAAGTTCATGAAAACTGCTCAAACTGGTACAAAATCACATTCTATCAAGGCTACGTGGTCAGATGAGCAAACCCAAGGGCAGGTGAATGGCAGGACCGGTGCAACGCTCCTGATTTACTGTTCTTCCTGTGGGGTACAATCTTCTAACACCTGTAGGGCTCTGCACTCATCCCTTATTCTAGGTTTAGGCAGCACCTTGTAGGACCAGGAGCTCCCTCTGCCCCCAGGTCTGTCAGGAAGCCCATTATTGCTACCAGGTTACTCAGTTGTGTGGTACCTGTGGCCATTTAGAGAGTAAAGCCACAAAAGCCTCCTAGCCCTAGAAGACAAAAGTGTTGCAGCACTAATCACCTGAACAAAAGGAAAAGTGAAAGAGCTTGTCCTGGACTTAATTTCTCTGCTTGTTTTTTTCCTTGGGTCTCTCTCATAAACACTGAGGTTGATGAGTTGTTCCACGCATTCAGTTAGTGGCTCAAGTAAGGTCTGTCAATTCAACCCCCTCCACCTCCGTTTTCACTCCACCCAAATCACAAGTCATCCTAAAGGATATTAAAAATTTTACAGTTATAGAATGAAACTGAGAAATAACACAGTAACTGGCAAGGGGATGGTTGGTAGCTCCATGAGCAAACCTGAGACTTGTCTTTATTTTTACTGTGGAATCTAGAGGCATAGTGTGGGGTTTTTTTGTTTTTAATAAGATGTTCTAGGGGTTTATTCTGCAAGGAAATACTTGACTGTATTTGTGGGTACATAGGTGGATGAACTTAAATGACAGAAATAAAATAGGCTCAGCATGTCGCTGGGTTAGCATTCAGCTCTCTTGGACTTGGGTAGCTGAAGAGTGGCTGTTCCTTTCTTTATCAGTATTTTGGAAGTATGAAAATGTTGAGTCTTTCAGTGTGGTGCTGCTGCCAGGAGAGGTTTGTGATATGTGTCTGCATGGTAGACTTGCTGTTTTACAGTCCCTCTTTAGATGCTGGTGGCCCAAAGACCACAGGTGTGGTCACAAGGCAGAGCTGTGGAGGCACAGCCCTAATTCCCAGGGGATGTGCTGTGTGTGTCCAGGGCTCCAGCCTCATGCTGCCCCTTCCCATGGGCAGTCCCAGCCCACAGCCTGGGGGGAAGGCACAAAGGCTGCTGGCACTGGGATGGAGGAGCTGTCTCTGCCAAGCTGCTTCATGGAGTTTGCTCTCACACAGGGCAGGCAGCTCCACTGGCCTTCTCCAGCTCCTTAAAAGGGATTTTGCTCAGCTTATGCAAAATATTGTGGCCAAAGCAAACCCAGTAAATGCTTAGAGCTGGGTTTATGTGTGTGTATATGCAAATGCATATAGAAAAACATTTATTTATATGAGGAATTACCTTCATCTCTTGTTTTATAATATGTAGAAATGCTATTTTAAAATTACAAATATTGAACAAAGGGATCCTTGACATAAACGTTTCTTAGCCAAAAGGTGCAGTTTACTTAAATAGGAATATTTATAGAAGTGAGAGTTTGAGCATCAAGTCCAAACATAGTTTTATTTATTTATATTTAAATACTGAAGATTGCAAAAAAGTAGCATGATATAGCTGCCATTCATAAAATATATCTCAGAATGGGATAAATCTTAAAATATTCATTATGGGCAATCCTCATTAGAGAAGCCATTCTTATGATATATATTGAGTTTCCTCTATACTATAAAATTGTGTATTTAGGAAAATCTCTACATTAGGTCTATTGAAAAACTGTCACTTTCTTATGTACAGGAATGCATCAGACTCATACAGTTAAATGTACACACATACAGCTGAGCTCCTGGTAGCACAGCTTCTATTTCCTTTCACTCCTTAAACAACCCCAAGTGTATAATGCCTGGCGTAGGTAATTTCACGAAAGAGATTGCTTAACATGGGCAGATTAAAAACCAATTTAACTGATGGCCACAAACAGAGCTTAGAGTTTGTAGTGGCCACAAAGATTTTCTGTCAGGGCATAAAAGCAATGAATCAGTATGCAGAAGGTATTGCCTGTCCCATGGAGATGCTAATTCTGTGACACTTTGGAAACTCATGTTCTACATTTACTGTTCACACCCGATGGAAGTTAACCAGCCTTAGCTTGAGCTAATGAAATCAAAAGACTGCAAAGTGTCACATTTTCCCATCCCCATGCACTTTAATTTTGTGATCTTTATTCTCAAGCACAGTGCTGACTGAATATCATGAAACACGTTTGTCCCAAAGGCTGGGAAGTTATATTTATACAGAGCTGCTGTAGCCAGTTTGTTTGCAGAAAATAAAGGGCCTATCACTTTCCTGCTCGAATATTTTTTGAAAATTCCAGAAAACCCCAAGAATAAATTAAAGAAATTGTAGTTTAGCAGAACAAAGATCAAATGTTTTGGCATGTTGGCACTGGGGACTTTTATTTTGTGGGGTTTTTTGTTTGGGGTTTTTTTCCCCCAAAGTGCTGTAGAAATATCTATATGCACAGTTTACACGTAGCAGGCATATTTTAGGTAGAATATTCTCTTACAGATACTGCTAAGAGTAGCCATTTGAAAGCCCGGGTATTCCTCCCTGTGTACTCTAAGTTAGGACCTAAAAGAAGCCGTTTCTCTGTTAGAAATCAGAAAAAGCCACTCTATAGCACAGCAATTTCAGCAATTTGTAACCACAGAACGCTCTGGGAAAGCAGAACAGCTTCTGGCATACATTTTGCCATAGCCCTCTCTTTAGGAGAGTGGGGTTTTTAAGATCCTCGCAGAGCCCAAGGCACCTGGCGGAGCCGATTCCCCCGGAGCCGGGAATTCCCGTGGGATGCCCCCCGGCCCTCGGGACTCACCCAGAGCCGAGTCGCAGAGGAGCTGCTGCGGGTGCGCGGGGGCACAGCTGCACGATTCCACCAGCGCTGGAATCCCGGGCGTCAGGAGCAGCAGCGCGGAGAACACCACGGTGCTGCCCGCGGGGCTCATGCTGCCCGCGCCGGGGAAGGGCTCCCGGCACCGCAGCTGCGCTTCCAGCGGCTGTGCGCTCCCTGTGGGATCGATCCCTGCCTCCCGCAGGGATGTGGGATCGATCCCTGCCGCCCGCACAGATGTGGGATCGATCCCTGCCGCCCGCACAGATGTGGGATCGATCCCTGCCCCGCTGCTCGCCGGCCCGGGCGCGGAGGGTTCAGGCAAGCCCTCTAATGCTCGCTCGGAGCGTTGGCCCGTGGTAACTCACGCCTGGTTTCCATAGGACCCCTATTTATGGCCCCGACACCGACTCCTAACTCCGCCTTCCCATAAGAACGAGCGCATCATTGGTGACAGCCCGCGCTTACCTTAGCCAGCTGCGGGCCAGCACAGCTATTAATAATCCAAAACCAGCTAGTACGAGGATCTGAAGCTGATTATATGATTTAGCAGAAGAAAGATTTTATCTCGTTCTAGAAAGTTTCTTTCCAGTTTAGATTTAAAAGCCAGTCCTGCAACCTTCTCTTTTTTGGTCAAGTAAACAAAGCTGTCCTGTTTTAAGCTCAGTTTTCATTTGCAGGCCCTGATCTTCCCCTGCACTTCTGGGCATTTTCTTGAACTGATATCCCTGTTTTCAGGCTGGACAGAACTTCATTCATGAAAGGGAAAGGTCTCAATGCTCTGTTTGTGAGCCTTGAACAATTGGCAGTTACAAGGAATAATGAATTACACATAAAGGCTGCAATAAAAGGCATTTTTAAAAAAATAATTTTGTCACAGATTTAATTTAAAATAACAAGGAAAAATATCCCAGTGGTGTATGTTGGAGGCTCAGCTCTTTCCCCACATTCCTTATTGATGTAAGTCCTGCTCAGCACAGATCACAGTGTCTGTATTTTCTGGCTGATGTTCTAGGTGGAATACAGACATAAGTACAGAGTTTGGAAATCTTTTTCAACTTCAAATCTTTGGTTGCTGTAACAATCTGGGTATGTGGAACCTGTAGCCACCCTCTTTTTATAGTGAAAAATGTTTCATGAGGAAGCAATCTAAAGTTTGATTAGAGAGTAATAAAATACATCTTTACATTGACATGCAGGACAGGGCTGCCTAAAGGATTGCATATTTTGTCACTTCCCAAATCAGGCCTAGGACTGAAAATTCATTGACATGACTTGAACCATTTCAATCCAGACTCATGAAAATGTATTTTGTTGAGGCTGAGATTTAGGTGTAACCAAAGTAGCTTGTTACCTTTATGGAGATGTGTACATGTTTTACAGCAACAGATTTATTTTATTTCTGAACAGTTATACAAATATTAGTACTCTGATTCTTTTTGTTCCTCCCATCTGCCTTGAGACACACTGTTAAAAAAAAAATACATAGGTACTCAGAATTATTAGAATTGGGTCTCATTTTTAAAATTTTGACCCACACTCAGCACTGAGCCAGAAGTGTTGTACACTATACCCTGACTTAGTTCATGCAGCCATGTTTTGATTTTTCACTTTTCCAGTCTGAAGTTTTGGCATGAAATAATAAGGCTGGATCCAAGTCCAGGACTAACACCTGAAAATAATTTAGACTTGTTAACATCTCTGTTCTTACCGAGAGGAAATGGACTCCTTTCATGGGAGTGAAGAGGTAAAAAGATGTGAGGCTGAAGCCTTACACAGGAAGTTCAGGCTACAAGAAGGCCACAAAACCCCAAAGCAGATATGCCAGTGGCCTCTGTCCTCAGTGGGTCTGGGACTATACATTTTCAAGTCTCAGGGCAGTAGGACTAGGAAGTGATGAAGGAATTAATTGGGAGCCATTGATTGGTTTCCATATGACATCACATGGCTGCTGTTATAGATATCTAAGTAGACCAATTTGATTACTGTTTGCTTAAAATTCAAATAATAGAGAAATATGCTGGGCAAACTGTCTTCTCTCACATTGAGCGTGCAGCTCTACCTGTCCTGTGGTTACTTAAGGCACATGTTGTCCAAGATTCTCCAGAACATGTCAAGTTATGCTCTGCATGTCCTCAAGACTTTCATATCTAGTACAATCAAACTAAATGTATAATCAATATAAAAACATTATGCTCAGAACTTAAAAATAATTTTGTGACAAGTTGAAAATTAATTTACCACTATCTTGTAGACATAGTTGAGAATTAAATACTTTCACCTGAGTGTGTAGAAATGTAAAAATGTTAAAACTAAATATATGCATATCAATTGTGCAAATGCCATTAACACATTTTAATTATGATCTTACCTAGTATTGCCTGCAACTGCTCTTGGGATAATTCAGTTGGATTTCTAGGAGTGTCCCAAAGCCATCTGTGCATAGGTGGAATATTGTAAGTATGATCACACCTAGAGAAGCGAGTGGCCATAGGAGAGGTTCTCAATAAATGTATTACCCAGTGGTCCCTCCCCCTAGCTGGCTTTGGGAGGGATAGGTTTTTTGAAACCTCAGCAGAACTCCTGTTTTCTGGTAAATCTTCATTCTGAAAAGTGAGTTTTGTCACGTTACTGTCAGAGTTTAGACAATTACATCGTAGCTTTTGAAAGGGATTTTAGTAGGTCTGTACTCAGAAACATACTCTCACAAGTGCAAGAAAATACACTTTTAGCCTATCAGAGGAGACAAATACTCCCTATATCTTGTTCTGGTATCAGTGTAGTGCTTAAGTACCTGTTATCACTGAACAGTATCAGCAAGCATTTGGTCTTAGCTTGAAGCTGCATTGGCCTTTTTTATATTTTATGTTGTGGTGGTTTTCATTGTATTAGGAAAATTACTTTTAGGGAGTTTAAAAGGAGCCCCTCTGCTCTGGAGCCAGGCTGGGAGAGCTGGGCGTGTTCACCTGGAGAAGAAAAGGCTCTGGGGAGACCTGAAAGCCCCTTCCAGGGCATAAAGGGGCTCCAGGAGAGCTGGAGAGGGACTGGGGACAGGACAAGGGGGAATGGCTTCCCGCTGCCAGAGGGCAGGGTTAGATGGGATATTGGGAAGGAATTCTTCCCTGTGAGGGTGGGGAGGCCCTGGCACAGGTTGCCCAGAGAAGCTGTGGCTGCCCCATCCCTGGAAGTGTCCAAGGCCAGGTTGGACAGGGCTTGGAGCAACCTGGGCTGGTGGAAGGTGTCCCTGCCCATGGCAGGAGTGGAACAAGACAATTTTTGATATCCTTTCCAACCCAAAGCATTCTGGGATTCTGTGTGAGCAGGAACCCTTGACTCAGCACCCATTCTGTATTACAGTTAGATCTTGACCTCATAAAATAAAAAGATTATTCCCAAAAGACGGGAATATTCCTTGACTAACTTTTAAGCAAAATAATATTTTATCTTAAATAATAGTAGAGAATTTATAGCCAACATTTACAAATATAAGCAAAATAAAAAGAGATTTCTGTTTGTATAAATGGACTAACAGTACAGGGCTTCTTTCACTGCACAGTATGTGATGATGGCAGTTTTCCTTTAGTTTGATAAGTAAGGCATGATATCATAGCAAATTATGTCATCACACTCATAAAGGATGGAGGGGGGCAGGATGAAATCGTGCCCACTCCCTGGTTCTGTTCTGATACAGCTGCCACTTGCTAATAAGAAACAGAGAAGTTCATTTATCCTGATTCCTTCAATTTGTTATTGACACAGTAGAAGCAACACTTGGCAATTTTTCATTTCTGTCTGAATGAGGAAGTCTGGTGTTGAACAACTAATGTCTGTTTTCTTCTAAAATACAAGCAAATAAAGAGGATTGGGGATGAGCCACTGTACTTGTTGAGTTGTGCAATATCAAAACAAGGCAGGAAACCTAACTGCAGGCAAATTTATGAGCAGCTTCATCTCTTCTCCAAGGGAATCCTGATTTTTACAGGACTTCTAATTCTGGAGGGACTTTTTGTACTGTGGTTGTCAGGGGCTCTGTTAATTTTTACTATGAGGCATTAGCAGCCATCAACAGCACCGTGGGCATTAATTACCATCACTCTGTCTTCTAAGAGCCCCCAGAGACCTGTACTAAAACCACTGGTGTTCCTGAACTGTGCTGCATAGAGATTGTCCACACAGCTTTTTCCAAAGGTTTTTGATTGTGATGGGATGTGCCAGGGCCACCTTGCTGTCCCTTCCAGCTGTCCGGTGGTCTGAGTCTACTCAGTCCTTTCCTTGGACTGCCTGCTCTGGGCATTATCTCCTGGCAGTCTACAGAGTACAATTTTTTTATCCATCTCAATCTTATTTTCTCTCCATTGTAGCAAATGAATCTTATTTGAGAACGGTAGCAGGCAGGATCCTCCACAGCAATAGTTTATCTGTTGCCTACTTGATGCTTTGCTATGATTCTTTTCTCTCTGGTTCTCATTTGGCATTGCATTTACTTCTCCTAAAAACTACTTTCAGTTTACCTGATGTAGTCACAGTACACATCCTGAACAAAACCTGTCCAGTCATGTAGAAAATTCGGAGTTAGAATAATATTTCACAAAATAGGTGAGCTTTCAGGGATTTTAAATTCCAGTGCCTCTGTATGTACTACCTGCTTCAAAAGGGAGAATATTTGTAGCTGTCTCTTCTGAAACACTACAGTAAAAAAAACCATCCAGTTTATAGTCACAGCAATTGGGGTAATTGTTTTATAATGTGGCAAAATGTTTCTTGACTTTAGAGGCAGCAGTTTGCTAATTAGTTGGTTTAATGACAAGGATTGAATGAAACACTGATATGCCAGAATCAAAATATCATTTGTTTCTGCAAAGTTTTTGTCTCCAGAATTTCTGCTAGGGATCTGTGGGAACTGCTCTCTTTGATTCACTGCCAGTACACTTAATGTTTTCCTTCTTAGTGACAATTTCTGTTTTTATACTGAGCAGCTATTAAAAATAGAAGACTTTTCTGCCATCAGATCACTTGGTGTTGATTTAGATATCTGTGATTTTTCAATTGAAAAACCAGTCGTGGGGACAAAGACGTTGTAGGTTGATTTCCTGATGACAGTGTGGTGTCACTTCACACACTAAGGTCATCTCCAGCCTTGCAGTGACTTCAGGGAAGTGGTTTCTGCAGATCCAGGCTCTGGAGTTGATGTTGATGGGAGATGAAGGCACGATGTTCTCAGAACACCCAGTTCTGCACCAGCTGCCATTAACATCAGTGGGAATTGAGGTGGCCCAGCAATTGCACTTAGTTTATAAACCAATTTAACTCTCTGTTTTGGGTAAAGGACTCACAGTTGAAGTGTATTTGCCTCT